AAAGAAAGAAAGAAAGAAAGAAAGAAAGAAAGAAAGAAAGAAAGAAAGAAAGAAAGAAAGAAAGAAAGAAAGAAAGAAAATCAGCTTCATGCTGGCAGAGGGAACAACAGACCTTCTCTGCAGCAAACCTTATTTTTTAAATGGAAACCGTGAGATCCGTCAGCTGTTGCCAGCTGCAAAAAATCCCCCCAGCTAAGAATTCTGAACTGAAGTTTTCCTCTTTGGCACCAGAAGGATCCTTTTGCATTCCAGGTGAAATTCAAAATGGTATCTTTCCATCGAGGATAGAGAGAATCTTTTCACGGGGACTGTCATGAAGCCGGCCTACGGTTCCCCTGCCCCGGCTAAAGGCAGAATTCGACATTTATCTCTACGGAAGCTCATTTCGCTTGTTTGAGCTTCTTTCTCCAATTGGCTGGGTTGGCTTGGATTCGGATCCTGTGCTTTTGAGGCATCAGCTGCCGCTCCCAATTTGACGAGCCTCCCGATGACTTCTCATCCAAGCCATTTAGGGAGCTATTGGACAACATGGGGACCAGGAATCAGACCCCGTGAGTCTCCACATTTCCCTGCAGGATGAGCAGGAGCCACCAGAGAGAAGCACATGGGGGGGAATCATGTCAAAACCCTTGTGGAAATTTAGGCCCTGCTTTTCCTGACCTACCACGCTTCTAAATCTAAACCTTCAGGTCCTAAATGGCCTTTTTCAATTTGTTCAAAAACCAGCAATTATACAAAGAGAGAGGGTTTAAATGCCTGCCCTGATCCCTTCACAAGACAATGTGCAGGAGAGGAGACCCTCCAGACGCAGAGAAAATATTTAATAAACACCAAACCAAACCCCAGTAAACTCCAGCCCTCTTCTTATTTATTGACTACACGGACATCCCACTTTGCCACTACAAAACTCTCTCAAGGGAGTTCATAGTCTTCCCAAAAGAATAAAAAGCAAGAAGTAAAATCTGGTTTTACCACTGCTGGCCAATATGGGTATCTTGGGAGCTTGCACCAAACCAGCTTCCCTGCTTCAATCGAACCAGGTTCTAAAAAGAGAGAAAGCAATGCAATAGGATATCCTTATCCGTGGGATCAGTATCTGCTAATTCGAGGTCCAAAAATATTAAAAGAAAAAATCCCCCAAGATAGATAGATATACACATACAAACACACATTTAACAATGAACTTATCAGAACTGGCCGTGGGATTGAGCCAGAGACCGTGCTATGTATAGTGTTCAATCTCAAAATAAAGAGTGACATTTTCCCCCTTGCTCTCTGTGGGTTTGTTTTTAAATGGCTTTCGTGTGAATGTTCCTAAGAGAGGTCTGCCCTTTTAGCATCTAAGCATAGGGGTGTCTTAATTCTTATTTATTTTATGCACCACCTTTCTCCCCCCAAAAGTAGACCCAAAGCATTTCAGTCCATTAAAACAGAAGTCACAATGAAAAATACTGTGAGCTTTTCCAGACTGGCTTGCCTGAGAGGGGTTTTAAATGTTTTTTTTTTTTTTTTAGTATTGATGTTATTTCCCGCTTTTCTCACACTCCTTGTTTTATTCTTTTCAATTATTTATACAGTTCTTGCTTTTAGCTTTCAAACATTTGTCCTTTTCACGACGTAAGCTGCCTCAGGTCCTTCAAGGGAGAAAGGCGGTGCATGTGTGTATGTGTGAAAATATTGAAAGTAATTCAAACAGGCTTGGGCACTGTGTTTTTCCAGTTTTGGGACATCCAGGACCAATCAGCTCTCACCTTGAGGTGGCAGAAGGCTCGGCAATTCATCCTCTTCATCGTCCTCCAAGAAAGCTGGGCTGAGCGAGCATTCTCTGATGGGACTGAGTCTCAAGGAAAGGTCAGAGGTAGACTCCCAGCCTGTTAGGCAAAGCAAAAGGCCGTGCTGATTTTTGCACCATTTCCGACACGGCTGAAAAGTCATTCAGCTCTGTAGCCTTGCCTCTCTGTCAAGACGAACACCCACCTACCTTTCTCCTCTTCGGAGGTGTCCACCGGCTCGTATTCCGCCAACAGGCTCTTCTCTTCCTCTCTCTTGGGTTCCAAAACTGCCACTTCAGGATTCGGTTCCAGATCCGAGTCCTCCAGGCAAAGCCTGCGCCGCCTTTTCCGGGAAGAAGAGGCCCCCACACTGTTGCGTTCCTGGTGAGCGCCGCCTGAGCCCCCAGGAGACTTCCGGCCATTGGGAACGGCGGTGCCTTTCCCAGCGGGAGAGGCTCCTTCCTCTGGGAATCTGCCAGCCAGCTCCACCGCAGCCCATTTGGGAGCAGACGCCGAGGGTTTCCCTCGCAGCCCAAGCCTTGCACCCGACTTTTTGCCTGCCGAAAGCGGTCGGGAGCAGGACTGGCGTGAGGACGGCACCGGGGTGCTTGTCTGAGCGGGACGTTTCGTGGCCAGCGAGGGGCGGCCCTGCTTCCTCCCAGAATCGCCTTTAACTTGGCTATCCTCTTTGGGGGAAGACTGCAATCCTCTCTCTGAGCCAAATTCAGGCGACGGTTGCCTCTCTTCCAGAAGAGCGGTGGACGACTTTGCTTCGGAAACCCCACCCCATGGCCAGCCGTCCGAAAGGCCTTGTGACTCGAACGCAGGACTTTTGCTGACAGGAGAAGCCCAGGTTGTTCTCGTTGAACGACGCTCCCCTCCGAGGGGCAAGGTGGCCTGCGGTGGTCTGGAGGCCCCACCTTCCTCTTTGGGAGGGTCTCTGCAGGAGGAAACCTTCCGCCCTGTCGCTGTGGCCGGTGTGTCCCTCCGGTTTGAGAGCTCCGCTTGCCTCTCCTTTGAAGGGGTGCCTGCTGGGGAGGGCATTGCCCGGTGCAAAATATCCAGGGCCTCCCTTAGAGCCCGGCGAAAGATCAGCTCCTTCGTGGGGGTGCAGCGCTTCCTGCCCTGATCTGTGAATGAGACAGACGTCAGACGTCTTCCGGTAACAAACGAAAAGAGAGAGAGAAAGAGAGAGAGAGAGAGAGAGAGAGAGAGAGAGAGAGAGACTGTCGCACCTAACTTTGAGGCAATTTCTTCAATGTTCTCCTCCGTCAGGGGTTTGACATCAGCGCGACGTACATTAGCCCTTTGGAAAGAGTCAGGAAAGAATTAAAAACTGATCTTCTGGGTGGGCTAGCAATCAGAAACAGGTTGCTGAAGCCAGCTTACACATCACAAAGAATAAGACACTTGAAATTAATACCTGCATGCGGGAACAAGAGCAGGGCTCTGGTGGTTTATCCGCACTGCTCTAAATGCTAGGCTGCCAAAGGCAGCAGTGAATGGACACCAGTTAAATGTGCCGCTGTTTCTAGTCCTCATTGTGGGCCAGCTGTCGGCACAAATAACCCACGGGTTGCTGAGGGTGGCATCTGTAACGTATGAAAGGAAAGGTTCCCATCTTTTGGTGGAGAAGAACTGCCTCAGGAACACTTGCAGCGTTTTGAATTTCGGGTGAAATCCCCTTTTGTTACCGAGTAGAAGTACAGGGTAACAAAATCCTGCCAACCTAGCTGTTCAAAAACATGCAAAAATGCAAGTCAATAAACAGATACCACCTTGGTGGGAAGGTCACCACATTCCGTGTCTAGTTGTGCTGGCCACATGACCACGGAAACGGTATTCGGACAAGCACTGGCTGTATAGCTTGGAGACGGGGATGAGCACCGCGCCCTAGAGTCAGACATGACCAGACTCAATGTCAAGGGGAACCTTTACCTTTAGAATAGCATCGTCCCCCGAGAGTCCACCCCTCTCTCATTAACTGGCACTTAGAGTCTCAGTAACTCACTCTGAGACATTGGTAGGTGAAAGAATAGAAACGCTTTGTTATTCGGTTGCAAACAGAGCATCAGCAAACTAACCAAGAAAACGAACGCTGCTTCTAATAGACTAAAAAGAGGGAAAGAAACACTGAGCCAAGAGGCAAGACTCTTTTGAATTCAGAAGCAGGAGAGAATGATTGGTTCGTGTTGGATAGATTGACGGCCACCCCAAGCCCAGAAATGTCCCTCCCAGTCACTCAAAATACAGGCAGCCGGCGAGGTTGTTAAAAACTCCCAACAGGAACGATTTGATGCTTTGGGTTCTGTTGAGGGTCCTAAGGAGAGGCGGGAGTGCTTTGTAGAGAGGATTCCATTTAAAATCAATTTTATTTAGACCATGATTTAAGCCACTTCTTGGAAAGCCTCCATGTGGCACATACCACATGCACGACTGCTCGTTGCAATATCGAGAGACATTTTACACAACTTGGAGATACACGTTTCACATTTAAGATACAAACATTTTAAAGCATAGAAATTTGGTTTATTCTGAAAACAAAACATAGCTTTGCAGTGACCACACACCAGATGTAACTGGTGTATAAACATGCAAATATAATTAAAAATGGAGGCTCTCATCAATTCATCCGGCGGCTCTCAGGGGTTCTGGGACTGCGATCCCCAGAAGCCTTCACCACCAGCTCTGCTAGCTAGGGTTTCGGGGAGTTGCAGTCCAAGAACACTGGAGCCACCCAAGGTTGGGAAACACAGGATTAGCCAACAATACAATTCAAAGGGGACCATGGAGAAGCAGATCAAAAGATACCGTGGCTGGGAACGGAACTTAACTGTTCATTCAGGCACATGATCTCAACACGCATGGAGACAACCTGGGCTTTTGAAATCGACCGTCCCTGGGAAGTTCGGCTTCCGGATACAACCTGAAGAGTATGGAAAAATAAACAGACAAACAACTGAACCATAGGAAGGAAGGAATGATTAAAGAATGACACGGAGAAACAAGGAAGGAAGGATGACGGAGAAGGAAGGAAGGATTAAAGAATGACAGGCAGAAACAAGGAAGGAAAGAAGGGAAGGAATAAAGAATGACAGCAAGAAACAAGGAAGGAAGGGATATATGTATCTAATGTCTTCTGAGTGAGTGTATAGAAGTTCAGATTTACAGAGAAAGAGAATACTGTATGCATAAGGAGAGACAAGGGCCTAGGTCTATAGGCCTATGTGTATAGACAGACATATATATCTGTCTGTCCATCTAGTACAGTATCTTTTTCTGAGAGAGTGCACACAAGAGCAAGACGGACAGAGGAGGGCCAGGGTCGGCAGAGCATCAGAGGGTTTTGGCAGGGAGCTCAAAGCCCCTCCGGTGGGAGCCCTGAAGATGAAGAAAATACATCTAAGCACCTTTGCCGGCCACCATCGCCTCCTGTGTTTGCACAGCACATATTCTGCCTCGGGCATCGTGGCCGCTGTGGGTGGAGGAAAGGAAGACACTGGAGCGAAAGCCGTTGTCTCCCGGTTTCAGGAACGCTCTGTGATGCCGTATAGAATAGAACATCGCCCTTAGTGATGGAGTTTGGGAGAGCCTTTGCAGGTGGCCAAAAAACAAAAACAGAATAATAATAATAATAATAAGTTTAAAAACAAACAAAGAAACAAACACAGAGGAAATTATTAAACAAGTTCTAGAGATGAGATAAAATGATGTAAGCGCGTCTTTGGGTCCTTTTAAGGAGAAAGGCGGGGTAAAAATATTTTAAATAAATCCATAAATCTATACAGTAGATGTGTGAAATGGGGGGGGGCAAAATGGGAAACACAAGGAGTACTAAAACCTGAGTTCTTTATGTATGTGTGCATGTATGTGTGTAAATAAATCCACTTCTTTACAAAGTAATCCTAGGAGGGCAGCCAAAAAAAGGGGGGAACCCTCCAACCCCCCCCAAAAAATCCCATTTTAAAAAAGAGAAATACTGTAATTACAGTTAATTTGATGGGGGAGGGGCAGCCTTCTTGGGGAAGGGGAGGAGCAGGGCCTCCTCGTCTCCCCTTCCAAAAGGGGAGACCCCCACCCCACGGCCCCCAAAACACCCCAAACGGGGAGGACGCCCCCCTCTTTTTTCTGTCTCCCCTCCCTCGGTTCCCTGGTCGCCTCAAAGGGGGAGAGTGAAAGGAGTTGAGGAACGGGGGGTCCGTCCCCCCGAAAGTTGAGGGAAAGGGGACGGGAAACAGGCCACGTATCGGGAGGAGGGGAAGGAAAGCACTCCGGAATCCTGGAAGTGGGGCCCGAGCCACCCACTACTCACCACAAAGATTACTCTCAGCTGCCTTTCTGCCCCCTCCCGCCCCCTGCTTTTGTATTAAAATTAAAAGCATTTTTTTAAAAAAAGCAAACCTACCTCACGAGTCCAGTTGGCGAAGGCGGGACTCGAACCGGCAACGCCCAGAAAAGCAACCCCTCCCTCCCGGAGGTCGTTACCGCGAAAATAAGGGGCACGTGACTGTGGGAGCCCCGCCCATTGGCGAGACCACGCCCCCTCACAGCCTCTGTGTGGACCACGGACAACCGGCTCCGCCCCCCCCTTCCCCCCTCCGATCCTCTCTCCTCAGGCGCCGCCCACCCAGCCACACGAGGACCAATCCTTTTTCTTCTGGTTGTTGTGGGTTTTCCGGGCTCTTTTTCTTCTTCTTCTCTCTCCTCTTCCGTTCCGCCCCAAAGCTCGGTCTCGCGCGAGATTTGGCGACCAATCAGAAGATGAAGAGCCGCCTATATAAGGAGTGGCGCGCTTTTTCTGAGGCGAAATGGTTTTGCGTTGTTTAGACGTTACATTTTGGTTTTCATGGGACAAAATTTTTTTAACCCTCTTTTCCAGCCGCACCACGTACAAATATTTAAAATAAATAAATCTTAGTTCTTTATTTGGGCCGTTTATGACTGAAGTGGGTTTTTTTAACTGCTTTTTATCCTTATTTTCCCACCTTTTCATTCTGAGGGAAATTTCTCCAGAACAAAATAAATCATAATTCTTTTGTAGATGGACTGTTAACAACTCCTGTATTTTAAGACACAACTGGGTTTTTCTCATTTCCCTTTTCATTCTTAGGGAAATTTCTCCAATTGTCCAGAACAAACTAAATAATAATTCATTATTCTTTTGTAGATGGATTGTTAACAACTCCTATACTGTATTTTAAGCCACAGCTGGATTTTTAAAAAAAATCACTTCCCTCCTTTTCACTCACGGAAATTTCTCCAATTTTTCTCCAGATCAAAACGCAATCAATGCATTTGTAGATGGGCTGTTAATGCCTGTATTTTAAGCCACATGTTTTTTTTTCATTTTCCCTCCTTTTCATTCTGAGGGAACTTCCTCCAATTCTATCCAGAACAAAATAAATAATATACAGTATCACAATTCTTCTGTAGATGGGCTGTTAACTCCTGTATTTTAAGCCACAGCTGATTCTATAAAATCATTTTCCCTCCTTTTCATTCTGAGGGAAATTTAATTAGCGGGCCTTCCCCAGAACAAAGCAAAATAAAAGACATCCCAGACTGAATATCAAGCAAATATAAATGAAGTTTAGAGTCCTCTCTGTGTTAGACAGTGACCAAACCTTTTCTTCTTCAAATGTATGACATTTCTGCACTTATATTAGATAGATATTGGCTGGAGATAGGAAATAAAATTAAATCATGGTGCTGAGTTGGTCAGTTTTTGCCAAATAGCTGGTCAAGGAGGCCCACGGGCATTTCCTCAGTTTAAAATGCTTCAATATTATTATTATTATAGGCAGAAAAGCATGCGTAGCTGACGGAATAAAACACGGTGGAAATACATTGATTTACTTTCCTTCTACTCTCATTTTTTCCCAAGGCACTTAAAGAAATCAGAAACAAGAGGATCCTTGGTTTTTAAATCATGCCTAAAGCAAAATGTTGCGGGGGGGGCAACACCACATAAAGAGCAAAGCCTCCACTACAAAATAAAATCAAATTATTTGATTTTTGTGGGTTTTTGCAATCCGCTTGAAATGAGATCAAGGCACTCAGAAGCCCCGTCCTTTAAGGCACACGTTTACATCCCTGACGTCTTTCTCCCTTGTTTGTTTGTCCTTTCAAGCTCGGGCAGAGAAAGGCATGATTTTTTACATGAGATATGCCAGATCCTAGAATCACAGACTCGTGGCGTCGGAAAGGGGTCTTGAAATCGAGTCCAGACCAAACACCCGCCCCAGCTCAAGGCACGAACCCCCATCAAATTCTGTCTGGTAGAGGCTTGCTTTATTTCATCTCGAGTGCCTCGCTGGCTACGGCTGTGCTTCAAAAGTATTGTTTAAAAAAATCAAATAAAATATTTACTGTCAAATGCTTTCTGGTGTTTTATTCAAAGCACCTCTGGGAAAGAGGACGGCAATTTGAGTAAATACAAAATAAAAATAAACTGCTGAACAGAGGTTCAGATCTTGAGCTGCAGAGCCGGAAGCTGGGAGTTCAAATCCTCCACAGTGCCTCCTTGACCGGGGCTGGACAGGATGATCTCTAGGATCCCTTCCAACTCTGCTGTTTTAAAAATATTATTATATATTATTATTTTGCTCAATATCTGCAGTCTCTCTCTCCCCCGTCCTATGTTTTGTATCTCTTGTGGATGGCTTGGAACAGCCCTGAGCAGTGAGCAAATCCATGTGCCTGCTTTCTGTCCCTGCATGGCTTGTGCATGCATGCGTGGCGGCAATTCATGCATGCAGGCCAAAGGCAGGAAAAAAAGCCACCCGGCTCAGCTGGAATCGTTTCCACCCTCTCTCTGGCTCTGTCCCCTCTGGTTTCGGCACCCAGACAAAAGTAAAACCATATTTATAAGATCTATCTCCTTATTGTTCCAGGCTTCTGAAAACATAGTCCAATGAGTGAAAAAAATACACTTGCCTGGAGCCAGGGAGTTCAAGAGGGGTCTCTGAGGCCATCCAGTCCAACCCCCTGCTCAAGGCAGGAACCCAATCAAAGCAGATCCGATGGATGGGAGTCCATTTTTCTCTTGAAGGCCTCCAGCATTGGAGCGCTGACCTCCTCCTCCTGAGGTCATGGGTCCCGTTGTTGTACTCCTGTAACACTTATCGGTCCCATCATCATACTGCTCCAAGAATTAAGACTTTTCCCCCCTGACATTCAGCCCAAATTTGGCTTCCCGTCAGGTGCACCCGGGATGACGTGACTTGCACTCTGGGATGATGGCTGCATCACACTGTTGGATCAGTTCCAAGTCCCCGGCGGATGCGGAATACCACAGATCACAGCAAACACTAATAGTGAACGCCTCGACTTACGAACGTTCATACTTACGAACATTTCGACTTCCGAACAGCTCCGTTAACAAAATTGTTTCGACTTGCGAACGGAAACAAAAACGCAGGGAAGTCAGGGAAAGCGCGAAATTTGAACTTTCAGTTAACAGTTGGCCAGCGAAGAGGCTGCCTGTCTTCCTATTCTAGGTGAGTACACTGTATTTACTGTACAGAGGTTTTACAGGCTGGGTTTGGGCTAGGTGGGGGGGTTATGTTTCTGTGCTCTGGTGGGTCTTGCAGACCATTTCTCTTTTTGTGCTGAGTCTGTTTGCTGGAATAATGGTTGCTGGGTTCTGTGGCTCCTAGGGTTTGTGTCCTGTGGCATTTTAGTCTTTTGGATTTAAAATCAGAAAACATTTTGCAAAGGACTGTGCTAGCTGCTAGGCTCTAAAATGGAGTTTAGACTCGAATCTCTCCCCATTGTCTTCTCTCTCTTTCTCTCTTTTTTGTGCTTAAAAGCACAAACCTTTCTCTGAGGGGACTGTGTGCCCCAGTGATGACTTTCTTTCTTTCTTTCTTTCTATCTTTCTTTCTTTCTTTCTTTCTATCTTTCTTTCTTTCTTTCTTTCCCGATTGTTCCCTCCCTCCGTCCCTCCATCTCTCCTTCCTTTCCTGCACTTTTCTTTCAAAAAGGTTAAGAACCACTAGGTTAAAAAGAAAAATCTCCCCCTAGTGGTAGAGGGCGCATTAACTGGCTTTGCATTCGTTCCTATGGAAACAAACGCTTTGACTTAAGAACCGGGCCTCGACATAAGAACAAAAAACAGCCGGAACGGATTAATCAGTTTTCAATGCATTCCTATGGGCAATGCTGATTCGACTTGCAACCATTCCGGCTTGCATTCCTATGGGAAATGCTGATTCAACCTGCAACCATTCCAATATGGATTAAGTTTGTAAATTGAGGCACCACTTACATAGCATGGTCTCTGGCTTCCTCTAGTGGCTAGTCCTGGCAACTTCATCATTAGAAACAAATACCGTATCTTTGGGGGATTTTTAAAATATTTTCAGGCTGCGGAGAATTGCGGATACTGATCCAGCAATTAGAAGGTTCCTACTGAAAATGGGGTTTTCTCCACCCGATTAGTGAGGATCTCAAGGGAGTCACTGATCCCCATCTGGTTGATGGGAATTTTCGATCATAGTTTGCTGTAGGATTTTGGTCTGCATACAAGGGTAGGAAAGATAATGCACTGTAGCATCCTGTACGGACAGAACATGGGTGTTGCACCTGCAGCCCAAGGGGGATAGAGGTGCAAAGCCCATGGAGATAGCAATTTGTTGAACTCAATGGGGCTTCCTTCTAGGTAGACTTAAGAGGCATCCTTGTTTGGCTCCTCTCCTAGGCATTGTTTTCTGCAACTGATTGAACTTACACTCGAGTAGTCATGCCATGAAGAGCAGCATCAGACTGGGAAGCAGAACCTGAGGAAACCTATAAATTGTTAATCTACCCTCATCTGAAAATAAATCCCACCTTGTTTTAACTTGTGCAATTTTGATAGACTTTTTGGTGGGTTTTTTTTAGAAGTAGTGCATTGGTGGAAAAAGAAAAAGCACATCTGTGAATTTGAAAGATACCATTGCTTTCATTTAAGCCCTTTGAGATTACACTCGACAGAATGCATATTTTAGAAGAAACAGGCCTTCTTTGTCTTAATACACCTAACATAATAAGATTTAAGCATCCAAGCTGTGTTACAACATATTAATTTACAATATTTAAGTTCTGGATTTCCTCTGGAGAATCTCAACATAGCATACATGGTCTCTTTTCCCCTTTTGTTGTCATGACAACCTTGTGGGATGGTTGTCTCTAACTACTATATCACACTGTCTCCAGATCAGAATACATAGTTCACTGGAATTTTCTTTTAATATTTCCAGACCGTGGATGAGTGAATCAGTGGATACTGATTCCACGGATAAGGTGGGGGCTACTGTAATTAGGTGGGGGGAGGAAGGTGGGTTATCAGTCTTACCCCACATAATGGTCCAGAGCTACCCTGTTTCCTCGAAAATAAGCCATAACCTGAAAATAAGCCCTAGTAGGATTTTTCAGGATGCTCGTCATATAAGCCCTACCCCAAAAATAAGCCCTAGTTACGTGAAACCCTGCCCTCCACCCTTGTGCAGCAACCAGAAGAAGGTGACATGACTATATTTGATTAAATATAGATTGTTGTACATGAAGAAAATAAAACATCCCCTGAAAATAAGCCCTAATGCGTTTTTGGAGCAAAAATTAATATAAGACCCTGTCTTATTTTCGGGGAAACATGGTAGCAGCCGGTTCATGCCTCCCCCTCCCATTTTGCAAACCAACTTTTTTTCTTACTGAATGTTGTAATAATTCCCCCGAATTCTTCTCAATAATGGAGTATTTCTCCCCAGCCTGGGTTCAAGAGAGAAGCAACGGTTCTTCCCATTAAATGGAGACCATCCCAAACTATGGAAATGTGTAGCCCTTGAGATTCAGGCAACATCCTAAACAAAAATGTGTGGTTAGTCCATATTGTCTTATCAGCCATCTGTTATTCTTAGATTTCTCGTAGGCTCAAATCTAGATAGATAAAGAATATTTACATCAAGAATAGAATTGGATAATAAAAGGGCGTGAAAATTCTTACTCTCTTGGGTTCAGTGGGAGGGCCAAAGTTATTGACTGATTTCTCAACGAAGATGACACATATATTAAAAAGCAAGACTGGCTTTTTCGCCAGGCGATCCCCCACCAAGTCCATCCTCTATCCATGTCGACTGCGATTCAGTCTTGTTTTGATGGACTCGGGACCACACATTGACTTTGTTGCCTGTGGTACGTAGGTGGTTTCGGCTTTGGATGGGGAATTAAAACCCGTTGGCCTGACCAAAGACCTGCTCTGGGTGAAGATGAAATTGCCGTGTGGTTCGGCTTGGTTTTGGTTTTGTCGAAGGTGGGAAGCAAAAGGCGCTCAGAAAGCCTCATTTGTGTGATGCGGAGGATTCATCCTGCCATTATTCCACTTTGTGTGGCATAGTGGTACGAGGGTTAGCAGGGTTGAAGTGCAGTTTTTTTTTTTAAGAACCGGATCAGCTCATCCTGAAAATGTTCACTCAATTAACTTGTAGGAGGAAAGGACCTTCTGAGCAACGATGTACAATGGCTACCAACACGAGTTTTAAAAAAAGAAAATAATTTGAGCAGGCGCCTTGTCTTCCCATCCACATTATGGTCTGCCTGAGATCCTGCAGAACAGCTGTGAATTAGAGGAGACATAGCCAGTCCAGAAAGCCTAATAATCAGGGCCTGTTGGACACAGCTTCTTATTTAAATCAGCCCTTGATTTAGCATCATGAGAGCTAGAACCTTGTTCCATTTTTAAGCAAAGACTAGCGCCCAAGGTCAGAATAGACAATGTGGTTCCAGACAGTAGGACCATGTTATCTCTAGGTATCAATTTCAAGCACCCCTCTTGTGGATACTGAAAAGCATGAGTATAGAAGCGCAACATATAGCATAGTCTTTGGTTCCCTTTAGTGTCCAGTTCTGGTAATACACCTTGGAAATGTGTATTTCTGGAGGTTTTTATTTAATATTTTCAGGCAGTGAAGAAGTGAAACCGTGGTCCTACTGTATATAGATTTGAGCTGGTGCCGTTCCGTGGGAGTAGGGATACATCACGGTGAAGAAGTGAAACCGTGGTCCTACTGTACAGTATATAGATTTGAGCTGGTGCCATTCCGTGGGAGTAGGGATACGTCACAACATTGGCTTCAGAAGTACAGTCTTGGTGGATTGGAAGGGGTTATTTTTTTGGAATTGTAGACCTGGAGATGCCGTACCACAACACCAACCGGGCAAAGTGGGCCACGATCGCACACGCCGGTGCCAAAGAAAACATGTCAGTCTGTCCAGTTGCTTTGAGAATCCTTCTGGCTTAAAAAAATTCATAACTTTGGGATGCTTTTCCAGTCTGGTTTGAATTAAAGGATGGTTCCCCCTCCCCTCCATGTGCGAGCAGAACGCCGAAGTTTTGCATGGTTAACTCTTACAGCTGGAGCCGTTGAAGATCACACTGGCGGCCACTGAGCCCTCGCTTTGGAAAGCGTCAAGCCGTTCCACCTTGGCTGATGGCGCGGTCATGCCGTCGTCCGACGTGCCGGGCTCGGCGGGTTTCTTACTGATCAGGTTTTCTTCCCGGAGCAAGGAGGTGTTTTCTGTGGCTACGGCCAGGCCTGGTTCTTTGGTGCCATCCTGGTGGCGCCCATTTCTGGACCCGTCGTAATGGCCGTGGTTGCCTAAGCGGCTGGAGGCGACCACAGCTTTCATCGCAGCCTGTGGCAGGGGGAAAAAAAAACAATAACAAGCAAACAACCAGAAGACATTTCTTAAAATACAAATATCTGCTATTATTGTTACGGTGCAATTACACTGCTGATTTGTGTTGGTTTCAGTTCTGATGCCATTTAAATCAAATTATGGTCATGTGGTTTCTGTATCGCAGGGCACATTCACTTTGAAAATGATCACAGTTTGTCCCCTGCGTCTGCAGCGGATCCCATCTGAGACCTCCCCCCCCCGCAGATGCTGAAAAACGCGGATTACAACAAATGCTATTTTAACAGTGAACGCTATACGGAGCATGGTCTCTGGCTCCCTCTCATGGCCGGCTTTGGTCACGTTATATTTAGAAATATATTCTTCTAGGACTTTTAAAAATATATATTTTTAATATTTTAAGAAAACGTGGATACCATAATCAGCAGATATTGATCCCGCGGGTTCCCAATTGCACGTCGAGTTCGAGTGATTGGAAAAATCGGGTGCGACTGGACGGCAAGTCCCACCACTCGATTCCCCTGCCCTGGCTGCTTCTCCTCCCTGCCTGCCTGCCCACCAGACCCACCCATTCCTTCCCTGCGGTACCTTCAGCTTCCTCCTGGCGTTGAACTCCTGCAGTTTCTTTTGGGTGCTGTCCATGTGAGCGAACTTGGCGGCTTTGCCAGTGACCCAAGGGTGCTCCAGCGCCTGCTGCACCGTGAGGCGCTTCTGGGGATCCAGGACGATCAGCTTCTGCACCTGCAAGGAAGAGCGAGAGTATGGAGTCACGGCCTGAGTTGGGTGGCCTTGATCCCTCGATCTGTCGGGATCCAGAGAAGGCCAGCCTGGTCCCTGTCCTTGCAATTCTTATTTCAAGGAATCAGATCTGGTGCTCTAAGACTCTGGAACTCTCTGCCACTGGAGGCCAGCATGGCCTCGTCTTTCCTGTCCTTCCTCAAGCAGGCAAAGACCTTCCTCTTTCAGACAGGCTTTCCCTGTGTGACTGGCGGCCTGAGCGGGGATTTTAAAGCAGGCGGTTGTGCCTTGCTGCTTTGAATGTGTTTTGTTTGTTGTGTTTTAATACAGTATTTATTTGGTCCTTTTCAGTCTTTTTATGCGTAGGGTTTCCGAGCCCACCCGTCTCACCAGATCCTTAGCGTTGAGAGACACTTCATCCCACCACGGAGAGACGAACTCATAGTCGCAGTTCAGGATCCGGCTGTACATGTACTGGTCTCCTCTTGGGTCAAAGAAGGGTTCGAAGCCACACAGCCTGGGGGTGGAAAAGGAGATTAAAAGAAAGTATGAAACACAGAAGCGCACACACAGAGACGGAAACTTGATCATTCTTGCACCGCACTGGATCAAAAAAGAGGCATCCTCTCTTTTCTTATAAAATAAACCATGAAAGAATAAGATGTCTTTTCCCGGATAACACATCGCTTCTCTTTCCTCTACATGGAGAGAGATGCCTCGTGGCAGATTTTCCCGTTCCTCTTGTCCCACACGAAACAGGGAGTGTTCTTCTAAGAAGCATTCCTGTATCTCCCAAACAGAGTGAGAGGCCTTTTTTTGTAAACCACTCAGCGCTCCTCCAGTTTCAATCGTTCTGGTTCCTAGATCACCTCCTTAACTGGCACTTACAGTCTCAGTGACTGACATGGGGCCATTAGCATAAAGCATAAAACTGTTCCATTTATGTGTTTGTTGCAGAGGAAAATATGCCATTTAATTCCCCCACTACTCTGCTACTCCAACCTATGTAGAGCGCATGGACACCCACCCACCATCTGCCATATTGCTAGCTTCTGCGCCCATGTCCAAGAGAGAGAGGAAAAAAAGCCCGTACAGTTAAATCTGGAGATTCCCCCGCCCCCCCAAAAAACCTTCCAGCACCATCAGTTTAAACATGATTCGAGAGTGTGCCCGTGTGGGTGGGCGAATCCGACATTAGCCACAGATGAGAGATGCAAACCTGATGTGTTCGGATGTGGCGTGATTGCCATCTGTTTCATGTTGGTTAATTAAAAAGGGGGAAGGAGGAAGAGAAGAGGTCAGAACCAGCTCGGAAAGGGTCGCTGGGGAAAAGCTCATAGATGGATTTTTATTGCCTTGCACAAGAGGGTCAGGAAAGCAGATAGGATTCCTTGCCACCGGTAGGGAGGAGAAGAGGATCAGAAAGACGCCAGTGCTGAATGCCACATTTCCATCAGCCCTTCTAAAATAATTTGTTATTTTTAAAATTTTTATTCCCACCCCATCTTGTGCTCCCTGTCAGCGGGAGGCCTTCGTTCCAGCTCCCAGACACAGTTTCCAAACTCAGATCAAGCCTGAAGTCTCTTCCTTTCTCTTGGAGGCAAAATTTTGGAAATCAAAGCTGTCCTACTTTGGGCGCATCACGAGAAGACAGGATTCCCCGGAAAAGACCAAAATGCTGGGAAAAGTGGAAGACAGCAGGAAAAGAGGAAGGCCCCAATACGAGATGGATCGACTCCCTAAAGGAACCCACGACTCCTGAGTTTGCAAGAATGGCGCAGGACTGTGGAGGATGGGACATTTTGGAGCTTGCTGGTTCATAGATTTGCCCTGGGTCGGAGGTGACGTGACAGCGCATAAGCACAATAAAATGTGCATTTATTTTAATTGGGGGCGGGGAATCCAGAAACCACCCCTTCACAAAAGAACGCAAAAGGTGATCCACCCTGTTCGATTGTACAAGGATTGCTGCTATATCCCTGTCCAGAAATGATGCGGCTTGGGTGTCAAGAGGCCCAACGGAAGAGAATGAAGCATCAGAGTTGAATATTACTCACAAGATATATGTGATGACGCCAACGGACCACATATCCACCTCAGGGCCATATGGTGAGCCATGGAGGACCTCGGGCGCTGAAGGCGTGCAAGAACAAGAAAATAAACATTAATTAAATTTATTATTTTTTAATTTAAATTCATTAAACACCGAGTGGTGCTTTGAAGGCATGTGCAGGCTTTTAGCAGTGTTTCGGACGATGGGCCATTAGCCTGGGCTAGAGATCTAAAATTTCCCAAAATTTCATTTTCCCCTTGTTTTTTCCAGAAAACAACGACAAGTTTGTGGAAAAATCAGGAGGGGGAAATTGAACATTTTTGGAAAGTTAACGTCTCTCGCCTGGGTGCATTCACGCCGGCCGCCATTCCTGAGAGAACGACATGGGAGACATATCCTAATATTGTTAATTTCCCACTTATTTCTAAGGGAACTTTCAACGGAGAGGAGAGACAGAAGAATCCGGCTCCCACAGAAGGATGTGGCCTGTCTCGGTCGCTTCCCATGGCCAGGGCCATGGCTGAAAACATAAGCTTCCCTATGGCTTGCTGAGTCGAGCCCCAGAACATTTATTTGCTGTTGGGGGCCCCCTTATCCATGGAATCAGTATCCACTGACTCACTTATGGGCAGTCTGAAAATAGTAAAAGAAAAATCCCGCTAGATGGTTGGGACAGTGCAAAATGGTACAAGCGATAGTGCTGGTAGATGAAACCCTCAGGGCGGGGAAAAAGAAGGGAACCTTCGGAGACCACTCCTTCCTTGGGTCGCCATAATTTGAGGGACGATGTAACAGCACATAACGAAGACATGTGCCCCCTCCAAATGTCCCCTTCCCTCTTTTGCTCCCTTACCACAGTATCCTGGAGTGCCACACACTGTCTTCATTGTATCCTGCTCGTGCACAATCTTGGATAATCCAAAATCACCTGGAGGAAGCGGACGGAAAGGTGTGTGAGCGTAAGCACGCCTTTACGGGTTTCTCCCCTCCATTCTGTCCACCCACTCTGTGCAGGCAAAAGCTAGCAAAAAGCTTGCTTTAAATCTGATTTTCCTGGCCGCTGATTCATTACGGGGGGGAGAGGGAATTCAGATCTGACCAAGGTCCGATTGCAGGGCAACGGAATGTTCCCCCTCTTGCAACCTTATCCTGTTCGGCCTGCAAATCTTTCGGGGCTGCTTGCCAGAGATGTCCAGCGCAATGTGTGGTTTTAACCATCATTTTTCTAAAAACCATTTCCAGCCGTACCAATTTTAAGAGGTGCCTCTGGGGATAGGTCTGCGTAGAGAAGATTCTCCGGCTTGAGGTCCCGGTGGACGACTCCATTTGCGTGTAAGTACTGCGAGAAATAGAGAAAAAGCTTATGAAAAATCCTGTAGTAGGATTTGGAATCTCTGATAAAATCCCTTTGGCCACGGCAGATGAAATGACGGAGGAGAATAGCTGCAAGTTCCCTGGGGTGTCCACCCCTTCCTCATGAACCAGCTCTTAAAGTCTCCCTAACTCTTGAGACCTTGGCTGGAGAAAGAATGAAATATATTTCATGACTGGCTCCCTCTTGTGACCCTGTCTGGTAACTTCACCTTTAGAAATTATATTTCTGGGATTTTTCTTTGAACATACAGTATTCAATTTTTTTCGGAACATGGATCATCGAGTCAGCAGTTCCTAACCCCATGGAGAAGGGGGTGCCTCATGTAATGAGGAATAATGTCGTCTCGGTGTCCATGTCATATTAGTGGGGCATGGTTCTATTTATGGGGTGAAATAATCTGAGGAAGTGGGGTCCCTTGGAGGAATGCCCCCCCTGAAGTGATGGACTCTCTTCCATTGTAAGTTTTTATAAAAGAGAGTTTTGTTTTGTTTTTTTGGCTGTTTTCATTGTCCATTTCCTGCTTTGTTGGGGGGGTCAGACTAGATGACCTCCAGGGAAATTGTTCATGATGCCTTTTACTAAGATCCAGAGCTCCAGTTTCTTGCTGTCTGCAGGCCGAGTGTTCTCGTTCAAGGTCAGCCAGAGGAGGATGGGCTTTGAGCCGCTCTCAGCGCCGGGGGAGTGCCCATGGTGAAACCTCGCATGAGCCACCCGTGCTGCCCCGCAGCAAGGAAAATAAATAAATAAAGGGGGAATAGCTGCGGGGAAAGTCTCTTTTTCAGAGAATCTCAAGACAAGATGCTTCTCACCGGCTTCTCTCACCCTCAAATAAACACCAGATGCTTTGCGAATTGCGTGACCTGTCAAGGGAGCCGCTGGTGCCACTCTTAATTTCACAGGTTGCCGGTTTCAGAAGTTGGAGACGGGAGCATTAAAAGACACTGACAGTTAATAGTGGTTTTTTGCTCGGGTTTTTTTGGAAATAAATATCTTCCCACCTGCACCTATCAGGAAAGGCCGAGGAGGGCGGGCATTCTGTCATGCCAGCAGAGAAGGCCAGGGAAAAAGCTAGGCAAAGGATTTCTGCCGCTCATTCTGTTTGTGGAAATGATGCTCCTAGCAGAGAAGCGGTAGGGTTGGACAAGAGGCAGAGAACTTCTTGTAAATAGGTGAGACTTACGGAAACCGCTTCTAGGATCTGTTTCACCACGTGGGCGGCATCCCTTTCGCTGTAAAACCCCCGCTCGACGATCCTGTCGGAAAAGAACAAACAAAACAAAAAGACATCCTTGGGTAGAAGAACAACACAACCTCACTGAAGGCAGCTCTCTGCCTCCTTAATCAAGTAGATTGCCACGATATCTGGAGGCTCTCCCCTGCTTGACTTTTTTTTTGAAGCCACTTTCCAAACCCCGGCTGGTGAGAACCGATATCTCCTGAATTTTCCTCTCCCGTCCTTGACTATCAGAATCTAAAGCGTGACCTGCTTTTAGAAAATAAGCTCTCATTTTTCCTTTTCTGGTGAAGGATCAGAATATATATATGGTAGGGAAGTAAATGATGGGGAACTTTGTGGTGTGATGTATCCTGGCATTGAAATGCGAGGATGATCGCCATCCTCCTATCATCCCCCCACCTCTCCTCCATCCCAAGGAACTCTCCCCGCGGCAGATCCGATAAAAATCATCACATCTTCCCCCTGCAGGCTCCCTGCTCCCGTCCTCCTCCAGCTCGGTTTTGTCACCTTTTATTAAGCACCTGGCCAGGTTTCGCACCCGTTACCTGTCAAACAGCTCCCCGCCTGTCACCAGCTCCAAAATCAGGGTGATTTCCGTGGGGGTCTCGAAAATCTCCTTCAGCTTAATCTAAGGAGGGAGGCAGGAGAGTTTTTCAACACAGGAGACTTCAGAAATAAGACACTCTCTCTCTCTCTCTCTCTCTCTCTCTAATTAAGAGGCTGGGAACATTCCAAGTTTTGTCTTCTGTTCCTGCCTGGGGTTCATTAAGGTGGTTTTAAAGACGTCTTTCCTGGTTTTTTGTCATTTCCATCAGTTTTATAGTTTAATTTTTAAAAAATGTATAACCATTTTCCCCCTGGCTGGCTTTCTTAATGATCCACTTTTCGCACCCGGACCTTGTGACTTGGCTGGGAACATTCCAAGTTTTGTCTTCTGCTCCTGCCTTGGGTTCATTAAGGTGGTTTTTAAGACGTTTTTCCTGTTTTTTTGTCATTTCTATCAGTTTTATAGTTTAATTTTTTAAAAATGTATAACCATTTTTCCCCTGGCTGGCTTTCTTAACGATCCACCTTTCGCACCTGGACCTTGTGACTTGGGAGTACAAGAGGGTAGATGTTCGTGGCCTTCGGGAATCCATCCTTACACCTGGCAATCTCTTTTATAGTTTAATTTTTAAAAAATGTATAACCATTTTCCCCCTGGCTGGCTTTCTTAATGATCCACTTTTCGCACCCGGACCTTGTGACTTGGGAGTACAAGAGAGTAGATGTTCGTGGCCTTCGGGAACCCATCCTTACACCTGGCAATCTTTTTTTTAAAAATGTATAACCATTTTTCCCCTGGCTGGCTTTCTTAACGATCCACCTTTCGCACCTGGACCTTGTGACTTGGGAGTACAAGAGGGTAGATGTTCGTGGCCTTCGGGAATCCATCCTTACACCTGGCAATCTCTTCTATTTTCTTCCCGGCTGGCTTTGGGAGTCTCAATCTTCTGGCTTCTTGGCCCCGCCGGTTCCTCTCTGGGTTGACGATTCGGATGGAGGATGGAACCGCAGTGATTTCAAGGTCTTACATCGTCAACCTCGAGGCGGTTTCATCCTTGTCCAATCACGAATGATAGTGATGTTTCTTCCACCGACGTTTACACCATCTTAACCTTGTCTGGCTTTCCGTCTCATATGTTCTTTGGGCAGAACCGGCCACGATCAATACCACAACCCGCTCCAGGTCTTGTTTTGCCAGAGAGAATATAGCTTCTCCGTTTCCTTCCTTCCTTCCAACTACATGGTATTGATCAATACCAAAAGGGGAACAGAATAAGGGAGGGTTGAATGGTTATGTTCAAACTGCACCCCTCAACTTTTTCCAGAATAAGGGAGGGTTGAATGGTTATGTTTGAACTGCACCCCTCAACTTTTTCTAGTGCTGGAAACCAACGGAAGGGAGGCCCCCGAGCTCAAAACCATTCTCTCTGAAAAGGAACTTTTAATGATTATTTATGACTTCTCCACAATGAAGTTGCTATTATGATTACCCAAGGGTGCCTTAATAACACAGTTGTTGTTTTTTCCTCGTGTCAGAAAAGTGCAGGGAAATGTTATCTTGTTGACACCTAGTGACCAGTTTTGATATTACACCATAAAAATATAGGATAAAAGCGTCCTTGGATTAATAAAAGAATGGCATAAAATTGAGGGGGGGACCTCCTGTCAAGACTGTTGCAACCCTTCGTTATATTTATCCACCGTCCCCAAAGTAACTAGTTGCTAGTATCTATCTCACTTGGGAACAAGTTATTTCTAAGCTCTGGTATTCCAGTTCCCTAGAACAGACTTTTTCACATGAGGCTGGAACTGGAAGGAGGGGAAGACGCTTCCCGTAAATTCATTAATTTTTCCTACCTTAATGTTTTACTGTAGTTTCCTACCTTCTGTTATCTTTTGGGTAGGAACAAGGCATTAATCAATTGGTGCATTTAATTAATTTAATTAATCGTTGACTACTTTAATAATAAAGAACACAGCACTGAGTTCCACAGTTCGCCTGCAGCCCCCACCCCCACCCCAGGTAGGATGATGCTGGCCATTGAAATCTAATTTTTAGATGAGCTTTTAGGTGGGGAGAAGCATTTAGACCCAAGAAAAACACAAATAAGAATATTCTGGGTGTATTTTAAAAAAGCCACAGTCACTGGTTTAGGGAGGAACAAAGAAACGCACGGCAACGTCGCACCTGGATTCCCGGCTTTAGGAGAAAAAGAAAAATCACATTTTCATAGCGAGCGAGCGAGAAATATATCTTTCCCCCTCTCTCTTAGATTCTTTGCAGAAAAAGCGCGAGAGAAGGAATTAGCAGTTTTGCAGGGGTGGAAGTGGGAATGCGGAGTTGTGCGCTTTTCATTTTATGAAAATGTCACGGTTTCTTTGGATTTCGGTGACACCGAGAATTTCACGCTGCTTTAATCAGGATTTTTGGAGGCGCACAGGAGGGGCACTGTGATCTCTCCACCCCCCCATATTAAAAGTTTGCAATCCTATTATCGCTTCCCCTATCAGCCGAATCTCCGGAAGGGGAGGGCTGGGATGGAAAAGTTGTAGGGGAAGATAATAAAACAAAATCGTCCTGTTTTTCATAGGACTTTGGTTATTTATTCCTTTATTTTTAACCCTTTCAAAATGCGGTCCGTGGTTAGGATCGACAGCACAAAACAAGGCCAGTAGCCGGTTCTGTTAGAAAGACACCCAATCCTGTTTTGACCTTGAAGCAGGGACACCGGCAAGTCTTCGGGGTCCAGGTTCGAGTTTTCGAATCCGAGACTTGGGGACTGAGTTGCAAACTCCAAGTCTCTATTAAAAACAAGCTTTTCCTCCCCAGAAAAAAAAGAGGAGAGGCTGGGTGCGTGCCGAGTTGAGTCGGAGTCATTGGAAAAAAGAAAAGAAACTGGAGTCGAGCTCGAGTCATGTCGCAGGGGTGACTGAGGTCCGACTTGACAGCGAGTCCCGAGACTTGAATCCTGATCCCATCAGCCTCCATGACATCCCTTTACTAGCGATACTTTAAAACAGCCTTTTCCTGATGGCTCAGTACAAAGAAACCTTCATAGATAAGGGAAACGATGCCTGCAGATTTGGCTCTTTTCGGACTACAAGTACCAAAATTCCCCTGCCCAGCATACCTCCTGTCCGACGATCTACAGATTGTCCGGCAGGAGGCATGCCAGGCAGGGGGAACCGTGAATCAAGAAGCACCGCTTAGATTACATTTATTTGATCCCTTGGCTGGAATTCATTTCTCACTTTTAAAGTTTGGGTACGCTCCTCTGTGGGACAACATCACCCAGAATCTTTTGGGTGACTGTCAATCTACCCAACCCTAACCAATCCTTCCTTCTTGGTCTCTGAATCCAAAGAGAGACCCGCCTCTCTGCTCAATGCTTTTTCCATCTCTTGATTCTGTTGTAAGCCAGTCATGTTAGTCATTTCAACTGTAAGTAACGAAAGCTTTTACTCTTTCCCCTCCTAATGTCTCAGAGGAACTAAAGGAGTGGACTCATCTGGGAAATTTGAAGCTGTTCTGCTCGGCGAATCCCTGCGCTTCCGCTGTGCATCTAGAGAATTTTAACTAAGAATTCAAAGCTCAGCAACAGATAAAAACCAGTCTTTTATTTCCTATCCCCAGAATGTAACAATATCTCACTTAAAAAAGTAAAAATAAAAGAACATTAACAGCCCCCCCCCATAGAGTGGCATTCAATTCCCAGAAAGAATATGAGCTTGTAACTCGGCAAATCTCTATAATGTGCCGTGTAAACCCAGTGCTGGGAAAAGTTGATTCCCATCTGCCAGCTTTGCAGCTTAAAAGCAAACCATTAAGGATTAGAGAGAGCTTTCTGGGGGATTAATCCAGCCAGCGGCCAGCGACAAGCCTCCGCCGGTCGCGATGGCGTTCAGGATAAAGAGCAGGCCCGGAGAGGTGGCCATGCTGTGGTGTGGAAGTTGCCTTAGTGTGGACGTTACCTTCCAATCAGATAAGATAAAGGAAAGCGAGCACCCCTTCTCTACGTGGCCTCAGAGGAAAACTGGGATCTTCTTTTTTATAGCAAACATGAAGCATCTAGGTAGCTCCATCTGGAACGGCACTCCGGGTGCTGATGACGTTTGGTGCTGCCATGGTTCCCAACCCAGATGCTTTTGGACTACAACTCCCAGAAGCCTTCGCCACAAGCTGTGCTGGCCAGGGTTCCTGGGAGTTGTCGTCCGAGAACACCCAGGGTATCCAATTTCAGGAAGTATGGCTTTTCAAAGCACGCTGTTTTGTGAGTTGCCACATGGAACCACAACCTGGAGGGGGTTTCATTCTGCTGGACAGCTCAGGGGTTGAGGCATCTGGTGGAGAGTTCGAATCTCCCGCTGGGCCACCTTAACCAGGGCTGGGCTGGATGATCTCTAGAGAGACCCCTTCCTGCTCTCCTGTTTTAAGATCATTATTATTAAGATTATTCTGCACCCAAAGCGCCAGTTCGCACCTTAATGTTCCTCCCTAGCAAGTCATGGCAGAATTTATCCCCGGATCTTATGACTTAGATTTGGGCTTACTTACCACGTTGGGGTGCGAAAGCCGGAGCAAAACCCCGATTTCGGTCCGGACAATCTTCTTGTCAATCTGGAGAGCCAGCGTGGAAAAAAAAGAGAAGAGAAAGATCATAAAGAGTGAGGCACACCAAAATGAGCCAATTATTCAGAAGTCACCATGAGGACTAGAGCCTTCGTTTACTCTGGACTCAGCGATTCTCCTGAAACGAAGCCGCCTTACCTTTTTAAAAAACAGAAACGAAATAGGAGCCGGAGATGGTGGCTTCTACTCACCGTCTTCTGCAATATTTTGGCAGCGTACTGTGCCTGGGTCTCTTTCTCCTCGCAGCTGTAGACCACCGACGTGGCACCCCTAAACAAACGCAAATACAAAAGACATGAATTGAGGTTGAGATGGAAGATCCCCCCCCCCGCCAAACGAAACTAATTCAGGAAGGCACTCTCTCCAGAAGGCCCCATTCCTCCACTGCCCTGCTCAGCTCTTGCAAAACTCAAAAGTCGTGGTTCCCTTGGGGTCGATCCCGCTCACATTCAATCTTCCTCTTCTCCCACTGTCCCAAATCTCTCTGGCACCCTTCACTTATTTCTTTAATGTTTACTTTTGGCAGTTGTGTGCTCCTTTATGCCTCGCACACCAAAGATGTCAATTCCTGCCCCCCCCCCTTTGTGGATGGGTTTTGGGGTTTTTCTCTTTTTTTAAAAAAGGGTTTTAATTAAATTCGAGATGCTTAAAGAGCTTTAAACCAGCTAAGCGGCTTTGGAAGGCCCCCCAGGCCCTCCTTCCTCTGACACTCCAGCCTGCGCCCTCCCTGCAAAGTGGATCAGCAAACAGATGTTTAATGGAAATATATTTTGCACAGGTTTCGTTGCGGTTACGATGTGCCATTAAGTCCCCTCGGACTTCTGGAGGCCTTATGAATGAGCCATCTGGAATATCTACCATCCTCTACAGCCCTGTTCAGCCATTGCAGCCTCAAAAATTGTGGTTTCTTTGAAGGAGTCCGTCCATCTCACATTGGGTCTTCCTCATTTCCTGCTGCCTTCCACCTTTCACAGCCTGGTGGTCTTTTCCAGCAAATCCTCCCTTCTCATGATGCAACCCAAGTAGGACAACCTTGATTTCCTTCTTTTTGCCTCCAGAAAGAGTTCAGGCTTGAACCCCCTCTTGTTCATCTTTCTGTCTGTCCAGCACACCCACAAGGCGTTCCTCCGGCACCACCTTTCAAACAAAAAATCCCCCCCAGTCAGGTTTCTTTGCTGTTCAGCGTTCGCACCCTATGGAAAGAACCCCTTGCCTGTCCTGGGATCCGTCCTTGGAGGTCAGTTGGATGACGGCTCCTTGTCATTAAAAGGTGCAGGAGCCCACCTGGAGAAAAAAATTGGCAACGCTCCTCTGAACAAAAGCTCCCTGGCAACCCCGGGCGATTCAAAGAGCTGCGTCTGCAGAGCACCTTCTGGTCATCCAGGCTGATACGTTTCCTGGCATGAAGAATAGCCCTCCAAACCTCATTAGCGGCAACAGCAGGAGGAACGGAAAACAGAATTAGATATGCCACCCCCTTCTGCGCCTCGGCTCCTTTCCAGGCTGCTGGTTCTATTTGCGAGAGATCCGGTGATAGAAAACCCAAAATCTGTTTCTCTTTATTTCCACTTATGATTGCTGGGAGAGGGAAAAAAATACGCCTTCTGGAAATTAAGCCTGCAGGTGCCATGAAATGTCTCCACATGCCACGCTGGGCCATGGCCTCGTGAAGAAGCCATGGATAAAGGCAACGGGGTCGATCCATGTTGACGAACTGGCCCAGAGTCTGAGCGAATGGGTTACACATGGCAGATCTGAAGCGGAAGCCAGCTTACTAGCCAAGATGTTCCTGGGTATAACTTCAGAGGTTCAGGTCTCTTAGCTCTGAGTTGGGAGTTTGATTCCCCACTGGGCCTCCTTGGCAAGGGCTGGACTGGATGATCTACCGGGTTCCTTCTAGCTCTGCCATTCTGTGATGATGATGATGATTACTGTGCACACAGGGAATTATAGACACTGCAGGTGCTAATTATGGCTAATTGATAAAATGCTGGCATGTGCATTAATTAGAAGTGGCATTTATGCACAAATATGATGGGTGGTTTTCTTAGTTTTTTGTTTGTTTCTTTGCTTGTTTGTGTCTATGCATTTAGCATAATCAAGAATTTTTAAAAAGATACAACTTTCCTAAGTCCGGAAAGAGAGATTTTTGGTGAGCTTTTTCTCAGTGGACTAAAAGAGTAAAAAAAAAAAAAAACAATTAAAGCATCATTAACAAATTTAAAGGAGAGTTTAAACCAAGTGTTCTCCTTGGACTTAATTGGGATTAAAAAGGGAATTTTCTGAGAATGGCCACTTCCTTAAATAACTGTGGATACCACTGCAGACTGAATTATTCATATTTTTAAGTGGTGAGAGCAACTTTGACTCCAGTAGTGTGGAATAGTGGTTAGAGGGCTCAACCAGGATTTGGGAAATCAAGACTGATGCTTTCCTCTTTATTTCTCTCCCTCTTTCATTCCCGTCTACCTCGCAGAGTTGTTTTGAGTACAATACTGGGTCCTTTTGAGGAGAAAGGTGGGGTGAAAATATTTAAATAAAATAACATTAAATTAAATTAAATAACACTAAATTACATTACATGAAATTTAATAAATATGTTGGCTTGTACTCAATGGAAGAAAAGCCAAGCAGAAGGTCGCAGAGAAATAAATAAGGATGGCCGCAAGCTAAATCTTCCCCTGATGATCGTAGAGAGCAATAATCTTTATTTTCGTGGCCGTTACTAGAATCTGGGGACGTATAAAAATCTGTTCCTGCGCCTCTCCTTTTGCTGTTTTGCCAACAGTAAAAGTTAGCCGGAAAAAATAAAAGGACAAACATCAAGTGAATGGAAAAGGAAGACAGTGAGATTGGGCAGGAAAATTTAAATAAATAGATAAATTAATAAACCACCCAGTTGCTCTAAGGATGGGGGTGAAGAGGTTGATGGGATTCACATTTTTTTCATACAGTAGGACACACACGTACCCCGGTATCTGCGGGATCAGTATCAACGGATTCACTGATCCATGGTCTGAAAATATTAAAAATATTAAAAGAATTTAGAAATACTGTATAGTATTCTTCTAAAGGTGAAGTTACCAGAACAGGCCATTAGAGGGAGACAAAGACGATGCGATGCAAGAGGTTCACAATTAAATGAGTGTTCCCTCTCATCCGCGATTTTCAGCATCCACGAGGGCGCCTGGATCCAATTCTTCGCTGATCTGGAGGCCTTACTGTTCAAATCAGGGCCAGCCCTACTGTTGAGCTCCACTTGGGCCTGCCTTTGGGTTTGAAACTCCGGTGCGTCCAAAACACAAGCAGCCAGATTGCTGACGGGGGGGAGGGGCAAGATCTTTGTCTTCCGACGGGCTTTCCCTGTGTGACTGGCGGCCTGAAGGGTGTTTTTTAAACAGATGGTGGTTCCTTGTTGCTTTAAAACGTGTTTCGATGTGGCTTAGGTTTCATAATACGGTATTTGTGCAATCCTGTTTAATATTTTTCTATTCATGGTGGTTGGCTTCAATACTGTCTTTTAACAATGCGCCTTGGGTCCTTTTTAAGGAGAAAGGTGGGGTACATTTTAAAAAATAAATAAATAGAACAGGCATCTTCCCCATGCCCTGCACTCCTGGGTCGCCAACTTTAAGGAGTACACAGAACTGTTCCCCATAGATCCTCTCCAGTGTACTACTTAAACAGGTACTTTATACTCATGCATATGCCCTGGGGACTCCCGGACCCCGTCCTCATTTTCCAGCTTGTCCTTTACCTTTGCCTTCTGCTATGACTCTAACCACTCAGTGATGCTGCCAGCACCAATTCCAAACCTGAAACCTTTTGATGCACAAATTTTCCCTTACACTCCCCCTTTCGCTGAACTACATCCAGGCAAGCTCTTGGTTGTCTAAGAGGAAATGTGCTTTTATTTTTATAGCAAAATAAGGATTGTGTGGTGTAGTAGCTAGAGCACCAAAATCAACCATGGAATCAAATTACGTATAAAGTTATGAGCTATCCAGCTGGCTGTAACTATTGTGCCCCACAACCTTCTTCTACATGTATATATCAATCCTTTTTGACAATCCCTGTAGCAAAAGGAAAAGAAAAACCTCGATGGATGACGAGAGGGAACATTTAAACTGGCTAAGGATGGACAAGAAGCAAAAGGTGGCATAAATAGGTAGCTTTTCAGCGACCTGAAGATGCAGAAAAAACAGTGCAAAGAAATGGAGGAGAACCACCGACCCGGGGGGGGGGGAGGTGTCTTTCACAACCAGAATTAAAAAGATGCCAACAGATGCGCCAGAGACCAGTCTTACCTGCCCAGCTCGGGGCCTACGAGGTAGAAATCCCGTAGCGCCGAATCCCTCCGGGATCCCTCGATCCAAAACTCATCCTCCAGTGGCTTAGAAGTGGGCATCCTCGAGCCAAAAGATCTGGTGGTGATCTGGAAGGAAAAAAACCAAACCAAACCCAGAAGGAGGAGGAGGATGACGACGAAGTGTGTGTTTTTAGAAGGCCTTCCTTTTCTGTCTCCCTCTCACCACATCACAGATGGGCAGCAGCTCTTGCCGGATTATGAGCCGGGATCAGAAAAAGATGCTGGAACGTTTGGTTGGAGAGACTCGCGTCGGCCCCCACACACTCAGGGCAGGGCTCCCACCCACCCCGATGCCTCTTGTGTTTAGAAACGTATCGGGGAAGCTCAGTCTCTTTTTCCCTCCGGGGTCTTCATCCTCCTCCAATCCGCAGGCTGGACCGTCTTTAGACAGCCTGGCCAAGGCTCCTGGGGAAAACCGACCTGGCCGGGTGGGACGGCTCAACCCCGCTTCCTTGCCTCAGGCTGCCTGGGCCACCCCAAAGGCCTCTTCTTCAGACTGCTGTTAGTTTTCCCATTGAGGACATGACAGCTGCCGTTTCCTTCCTTCCTCCCTCTTGCTGCCACCTTGAATTCACAATCTTGCTGGATGAAACCACAGATTCGTAAAATGCCCGAATAATGGCTCCCGGTCGAAAAGATTTGTCCCTTTCTCTTGTAATACAGGAAAGAAAGCATCAATCTGTTGTGGTTTGTTTTTTTTTCAGACTTCAGAGGTCACCATTTCAATCTGGAGCAGCCACATCGAGCGCCCCATGTGCCTGCTGGCTGGCTTGCTCGGGGTGGCTTTTCGGGTGATGCTCGGACAGCTGGACCACCCCACGCTTAGGAAGCCTGCATCCCAGTGACCTCTATTTTGGAAACGCTGAGCGTTGGAGAAAGGAGGATGGGGTGGGGGTTCCTCTCAATGTTAGTCCTCGCCTGCCACCCTGTGGATCCTGGTTCTAATTTCAGCCTCCTCTGAAAACCCGGAGGCTGGAAGGGGGGTGGTGGAGGACAAGTCCCAAGCGGCAGCAAAATTTTGCAGCGCATCTTTGCTTCCACTTGGTTTAAGGGTGCTGGCCAGCGGGAGAGGACCTCAGCCGGCTGAATCCATTCCACCCCATGGCTCCTTGATTTTCTTAATTTTTCTGCCCCCCCCATGCCATCACCATAGCTACTGAGAATACTCAGTTCTCATGTTTTGGCTTGATGATGATGATGCCTCAGAGATGAAGAGGGGAGACACACAGTCACAGCTGCCTTGTGCAAATCCTGGAATTGACAAGTGCGATGACAGTGTACCCAGAAGGGCCAAAGAGTCCTTTACCAGCGGTCCCGGTATGGACGACTGAGGGGTTGTTTCCTGCCGCCTGTCCAAGCCCGAAGCCAGCCCCTGGGTGCGAATCCTGGGAGCTCTAGCCGTCCCCATGTAGCTCACGGTGGGGCAGCTATAGGCAACGGATCTGGGTGGGTCTGAAGGTTTTGGAGTGCTGTGAAGAACCCTCTGAGAAGAAAAGGGGTTTCTGAGCATGTGCAGAGGGCTTTTCCATTTGGCTGGCACAGGCGTTGGTGAGGAGTTTTAAAGGAACCTCCCCTGCTTAGCCCTTGCAAATGCAACCCGTGGCTTCCTTTCTGGGGACGACCCATCTCACGTTCCATCTTCCTCTTTCCCAGTTGCCTTCCACCTTTCCCGGCGTTTTTTGTCTCTTCCGGGGAATCCTGCCTTTTCGCGATGCACCCAAAGTAAGGACAGCCTCAGTTTCAACATTTTTGCCTCCAGAGAGAGTTCAGGCGTGATTTGAACTATGTGCCCCCTGCTTTATCTTTTTTTTGGGGGGGCAACCTCTACGTATGTGCAAAGCTCTTCTGACTCTCAGTTTCCTCATTCATTGTTCCAAACCTCCAATATCTGGGCTAAGCACGTCTGCACCCTAATAAATATGGATCGATCCTTTACATCCCATTGCTTCCCAAGCCTGGCTCCCAAGATGTCCTTGGACTGCAACTCCCAGAAGCCTCCAGCACTCGCTGTGCTGGCCAGGATTTCTGGGAGTCGTAGTCCGAGCGCCTCTGGGTTACTCAAGGTTATAGGAATGACCCAAGTATTAAAAGGATGAATTCCCAAGCGGCTGCTATGACAGCACCTGGCCACCAGGTGCCGCTATTGCTTTATTTATCAACCGTGTTCGGACCCTTTTTGATCATTGATTTTTGTTTATTATCTATGAATCAGTTTTTCTGTTTTGCTAAGAATCCAAGCAGCTTTAGAGTATTTTTTAAAATGCTACAAATGCTCCATCCGATGCGCTTGGACTTGGGATTCCAGCCTTGAGCAGGTAGGGGGCTGGACACAATGGCCTTCGAGGCCCCACTTCCAGCTCCATTATTCTATGGGGCCCAGCCTCCAGGGGCAGGGAGTTCCACCATCTCAGAGCAGCCACAGGGAAAGCCCTATCGTGTGTCTCCACCAAATGCACCTGTGAGGATGATGGGACCAAGAGGAAGGACCTCCTCCCCCTGAGGATCGTCACACCCCAGCCGGCTCATCATGGGAGACACGACGATCTTGGAGATGGCTTGGACCCAGGCCGTGAAGGGCTTTCTAGGTCAAATCCAGCACTCTGGATTGGGCCCAGAAATGGAAGAGCTGCTGAAACAGGGGTTATGGGATCCCTGTGACCATCCCCAGTAAGCAACCCATAGGTCTTGGGGGAAGCCACCAGGAATGGAGATTTGAATCCCAGGATTTGCGGTTAAGTTGGACTTAAATCACACCGGTAACTCAACTCACAGCTTGGAACCCAAGTTTCCTGCTGGGGGGGGGGAGGAGATTGCTTTTAATAGGGGCTCAGACTGGGACCCGAAGACTCAAATTCTGACCCCAAGACCCCAACTCGGGACTCGGGCCCCAAGACTCGAACTCGGGACTCAGACGCAAAGACCTGCAAATCTCAGTCCATCAAGAACAGGTCTAGGAGGAAGCCACTTCTTGCGAAGGGGAACCCCGAGCGATCTTCAGAGCCCCTCGTAGGCTGTTTGAGCCTCTGCGGCTTTCGCTCTCGGCACATCCTGGACATCTCTGGGGTCGGCCTGATTCCGGCCTGGCCCACTTTCTCTCTCTCTCTCTGTCTGGAGTCCAGCGGTGCTTCAGAGAAGGGCCGTGCAGCCGCAGGTCAAAGAAACCGCATTCGGGTTCTTCGCTAGCACACGGGCTAACTGCCGGCTCGTGGGGGCGAACCTCCTGCCGGCCGGCCGGCCATGTCCTTGCACCGGTGGAGAATTCGAACACGCTCTTCATCTTGTAGTTACAAGGGAGGAAATTAGCGACCCATCCGAGGAGACGGATGAGGTCGTGCCGCGCCACGGGGGCCTCTGACAGCGTTCGGGATATTGAATATGCGAAATGCCTGCTAATGGGATTTTAATAACACGCTCTGTTTCTTCAGCACGGTTAGCGAAGAGTCGAGGGACAGATTCTTACCACCCCTGCCTGTCCTTTACTTGCATCCTCTCTGGTGGCAGGCCGGCTGCACGTATCAAAGACTCGGGAGCCGAGTTCGAGGGTCCGGTTCTCACACAAAATCAGGCCCGCCTGTTTCCGCCGGGGAAGAGGCAGAGAGGAAGGGCTCATGGCGGTTTGGTATCTCATGGACCCAAATGACACCGTTGATGTGTTATGTGCCTTGGGGTGGTTGTGACAGGCGGTCAGGTCACACACTTTAGGGTAAGCCCATGAATGAGCGATCTCCAAGATGTCCCATCCTCCACAGCCCTGCTCAGGTCTTGGAAACACAAAAGTCGTGGCTTCCTTGAGGCAGTCCGTCCATCTCGTAATTGGTCCTCTTCTTTTCCTACCGCCTTCAAAAAGTGCCAGTCCCTATGTAATCATGTAAATCAGTAGGATCCTGTCTGGAATCTTTATGGGATGACCAAAAAATTACAAGGAAGATGAGCTCCCTGCGAGGGAGGCCACAAATTCGAAGAACCACTGCTCCATCTCCTTCCACTGGCTTTTCACACACAAACATACGGGGCCCTGTTTTTCTGCCCACCTGATCCTCTCTCTCTCTTCATCATTCATTCCCTTCCTCTAACGAGGAGTTGTCTTCTTCATGGCTCAAAACACTTTTCAATGGTCAGCCGGCCGCTGCGCTAGGCTCTCATTCGAATTTCACCCCGGGGTGCAAAAATGGATTTTCTCGACTAAGAAAATCATATATTTATAAGCCCTACATTGGGGGGGGGGAATAAGAATAAGAATGATGATGATGATGAAAAGAAGAAGAATGATGATGATGATGATGAGAAGAAGAAGAAGAAGAAAGAAAGAAAGAAAGAAAGAAAGAAAGAGAAAGAAAGAAAGAAAGAAAGAAAGAAAGAAAGAAAGAAAGAAAGAAAGAAAGAAAGAAAGAAAGAAAGAAAGAAAGAAAGACAGGTTGTTTGGGAGCAAGAGAGACAGAATGGTTACGTTTTGGCTTGGGGGGGATGATCTTATTTCTTATTTATTGTATTATTTTAATTTTTGGCCTTGGATGTTTGTTCCCTCAGTGCTCATGTGTTTTTGCCAACCGGCGGCTCCTTCCCGGGGAAACGGAGAGCTGTGAGGGATCCCTCCCCAGGTCCACTCGCTGGGCTTGGGAGCTGCCAAAAATATGAACGCTGGGATGTGTGTGTCTATCTATATGGGGTGGAGGGGAAGCAAATTTCATGTTAGGGATTACAGTATTTCGGAAAGAAAAATATAACAGCGGGGAGGGATTTGGGGGGGCTACTTTGAGCCTTTCGAAAATTCAAAGATAGCTTTTGGAAGCCCAGTCTCTGGAGGAGGGGGAAAAAACCTTATTACTGTCACTGTACTATTATTATTATTCAAAAACACCAGACACAATCAATTAAAAAATTATAAAAACATTGACTGGTATTATTATTATTGTTGTTCTTATTGTTATTGTTAACCACCAGGTACAAGCAATCAAAATTATAAAAAACATTGACTGGTATTATAGAACAGGTACAAGTTGTTCAATATCAGTGCAGTAGGTAGACTCTTCCTAATACTGCCTCTCTTTTTTTGTCACTCTGAGGGTGTGATTTCTGAGATCTGCAGCTGCTTGTCGTACTGGGTGAAATTTCTCGATCTTATTCCCAAAGCCTTGATTTCCTAGTTCCCTAGTGCTCTCTGCTAACGCTGACCTTCTGCTTGTCAGTGAGGATTGCAGACGTCACGTTGGTTTTAGGTCAATGTTCTTATAATGACCAGGGTAATATTGTAAATGTTTTAAGGAGAGAAACAATCAAAAGCTGTCGGTGTCTCAGCAGAGAGGATAGTTTGGCCTGGCTTCTTATGCAAAGATTCCCAAGTTGCAGAGTTCTGAATTTCTGATTGAATTCCTCAAGCTGTACAAGCAGAAGTGCAAGGATGCACAGGTCAGAATAGCTTCAAGTATCCCCAGAGTAGCCCGCTCCCTTTTTCTCATCAACTGGCACTTACAGTCTCAGTAACTCACCCTGGGACATCAGTAGGGAAAAGAAGGGAAAATGTTCCATTATTTACGATTGGACAGATGAAACAGCAAACTAATCGCCATGCCTACCTTCAGCAACAGATTTTGATGGACTCAAGAAAGGGAAAGAGACACAGAGCAGGGAGGCAGGCCTCCCTTTGACTTCAGAAGCAGGGAAGGTTTATGCTGGGTAAGGTCCCTCCTAGCCAAACCTACTAAAGGCAGGATGCAAGGTCTCTGCCCCAAGGATGTGGTGGTGGGGAACTTACAAATAGGGGAAGCATTTTTGGACTTCCTAGACAAGAAATCCCATCCTTCCCCATTCTGGGGGGTTCTACCTGTCAGACAGGCCTAAATGTGGCTCACCTGGGAGAAAGG